AGTGATATTTTACAGTTCAGTGGTGTAAATAGGGGTGAGAGGGAGAGATACTATGAATTGTGCAAGTAGCGGGCAAAATAATGTGCAGTCTACACGTGGCATATATTCTGCTTTCATTATTTCCCACAGAGGAGAAGGACTTCTGAAAACCACTCAGGATTTATTTCATCAAGCAGAGGTAATATATTTTTAACAAACAGGAGTTAGGCACTGTGAGTGAGGAACAAATGGGAACTTAACTCTGATTCCTTACACATAAGGACAGCGTACCATGAATTGGCTGGCAGCCGTAGGTTTTAAGCAGCCGAACTCTGGTCCGTACCTTCCGAAAGCTGAACTTCAGTGCTCCAGCAGCAGCTTAGGACAGCATTCACTAAACTGAAGTGCTCACGGGTGCTGCATCCGAGGCTGAGCAGCACTGTTTTCATGGGAAAGAAAGATGATGTGAAAATTTGAACAATACAAACAAAAGACAAGGGGCCAGATGAAGGAATGTGGCGTGATATTCCCCAGATACTGGGTTTACCAGGAGAAGGGTTACCTTTGTCGGGATGATAAACATGGCAGGTGTCATCTGCCCGCAAGACACTTCCGAGTGCAAAAAATAGTGGGAAGGGAAAGCCTTTAAACTTGGCTTATCTGGGAGAAGGGCAGTTTGTAGTGCAGGTTGTTACTTCAGAAGTCACTGTAAACTGCCGACCTGTTCATTATAAACCTGCACAAATATCCCAAGTATTTCCTGCTGCCTTTTTACTTTATAGTCGCTATTTATTAAAACAACAGGGCGAGAGAGCCTCGTCTCTCGTTGTGGTTCGTTTTGTCACGTGCTTTCTCCCCCTTTCAGATTTTTGCTACAGAGGGCACAAAGCTTGCTGCAGCTCTTCACGCCGTTGCTGATCAGGTGATGTATGACCCCTAACGCAGGCGTTCAGCTTATCCCGCTAGTGATACGGCTCAAAAGCTGGTGCTGCCGTCTTCTCCCTTAACTCGGTATCGGGGTCTTTAACACAGAGTGGGTTTGTCTTCCCGACACCCGTTTCAGGTCCACGATGACGACAAACCTTTGCTTCTGTTGGAGGCCGAAAAGCTGATCTCTATGTGCAAGCAGCTCCAGATAACAGCTAAAGCGTCTGTTCAGGGTAAAAGTGCTACATTTACCAAGGTAAGGTAAAAATGATACATATTCCTGAAAGTAAGGCCTAAATACAGTAACTTCACTAATTTATGCTCCTGTTAAAATACGGAACAGTTCATGACAGCTCTTGGATCGACAGAGGACCGTACAAATTAATAAGTACAAAATGTTATGCTGCTGTGCAAGCCTTTTTCTGCTGTGCAGTATGTCATTGTTGCTGTTCCTTATGTAGAAGAGGAATTTACTTCAACTCGAAGGACTGTTTTGTACTTAACTCGTTCTGGGAAGCTGATGGGCGAAGCAGAGGGAGAACAGTACGAGCCGTTCCCCTGGCTGAAAGGGGTTTGTCTGTTGGGACATCCCTCACGGTGACTGCAATCCAAGACATTTAATGCACTGTCTTGTCTCGGGAAGGGATTTTCTTCAGCGTGGGGGCTACTGCTTTCTGCCCTTCTTTAAAATTCCCCCCACCTCTACCAGAGAAGGGCTTCAGTGAAGTTTATCCTGACCTGACCCCCTCACTCATGCTGAGTTTGATAGGAGGCAAAGTGCAGTGCACTGGCGCCCAGCACACAGGGAGTCCTGCCACCGGGTGGCTGGGATGTGAAAAGCCTGACGTGACTTTAGGGAGCATGGATAGCCAAGCTTTGTAGAGCTGGCCCAGTGGCCACAGACATACCACTGGGATTAATGTTTTAAGGAACAGTTTCCCTACCCCTAGCTTATCAACTTTAAAGTTGAATCAGTAAAGTAACAAACAGCATTTTTTTCCCCTTCCTGTTATTAATAGCACTGAAGTTATCATTTGGGTTTTGGATTTCACTGTTACTGAAAGTAACGTGTGTCACACAATGTCACAGAAATGTTTCCCAGGACAATGATGTTCCTGGACTGCTCTTAAAAGAAGAAAAAAGGTGGAAAGGTGTCCAGAGGCTTCCAGTACTTCCTATTGCCTTTTAGTGCCGAGAACTTTTTTTCAAAGAACTTCTGTGAACATCTCCCTCACCTTACCCGCTAGATAGAGAGGTACTGGAATTTTGTCATGCTGCAGCTGAGAATTTTCAGCTGAATAATATGGGATGGAGCGATACTGCATATAATAATACTGTAATCCACTAGATTACAGTAATGATACTGTAATCCACTAGAACTTCATTCAGAGAAATATGAACTGTAATCAAACGTACCTCACTAAGAAGGGACTTCAGTGATCAAAGTATTAAGGTAATTTGGATTTCCACCACTGTAATAATTATTGTTATTCTGTTGTTATTGATGCTTAATGTAAATGTAACAAATTCCAACCCCCAGAGACCCTGTTACTGAAATAGCTGCTTGCCTCTCAGTAGGTAGAGAGCCTGCCCTAGACTGCCCAGAGATTATTCTGGTATTATTCGTATTTGTTGTAAGTAAATACGTGTGCAGCTGCCATAAAGGTTTCAGCGTAGTTACCCCACGAAGCAGACCCGCAGACCCTAGTGGGGAAACAGAGGCCAGGCTTTCTGAAGAACTTCAGGTACCCCTGAGCAGCAAGGGCTCAGCAAGACCCTTTCTCTGCACCTGCCTGTTTGGTTCCAGTGAGCTGTGGAAAAGAAGTTTCAGTTTTGCAGCAGGGCCTGAAGCTGGCCAGAGCATCCAGGCCACTCCAAACCAAACTGAGCACCTCAGGGCGGCTGCTTGGCTTGTGTTACGCTCTCCAGCCAAACCAAAGGGGAGCTCCAGGCTGTTCATAACGGTGGTGGATCGCCTCGTGGCGATACCAGGCCAGGAAATGAATGTTCGTTGAGGGCCCCGACTAGTGATCTGTGCTGAGTGTTAGCCCTGAGGCGTGAACTCCAGCGCGTCAAGGTTTAGCTAACGCACAGCCAGGTGAGGCCTACGGGATGCATGGCCTTGGACATCGTGCTGACAGGGCAGAAAACAAAAGGAAAAACGCAGGGAATTGTGATGAATCATACTTAGGCGCAAAGAACGCCTTTCCAAGGCGCTCACGTTACTGTTTAACGTTACATCATTATTGATTCCTTCTCCTGGGATGCGTGGCACTCCCTTCGGCTTCCCAGCCAAGCCTTGGGTTAACAGGAGGGATGCTGTGGCTTTGCACGTACTATATAGAGAAATTCAAGAAAAGCAGGCAAAACCTTTTGGTTAGGCGGGATTTATGAAGGACAAACATCACCTGTTCAAGCTCCAACTAGATTCTCATCTCGTGCGTTAAACCACTGCCTAACGAAGCACCGCGTGGTCGTGCTCTCTGCTCCGTTGTCTTGCCCAGGTTGACGCGTGCATCCTGCAAACAAGGACCGTGATGACGCTGTTACGGCAGCTGCTTCCGCTGTGCTGCAGGCTGCTGAGGAGGGTGAGCGCTCGGGTCAGCTGCGGCGTTGGGAGGGTTGGGGGCTGCTCGTGGCTGGGGTTTGCTTGTTAAGTTTTTAAGAAATCTTTTTTTTTTTAATATATATATACAGAATAAAGCAGGAAATGGCTGTCTTAAACCTGCTCCGCCCTGGAGAGAAGACAGAATACGACCTGGTGCAAACGCACGGACCGCGGACAGGAGAGCTGAGGCACTGGGCATCAAGTCTTTAGAAAATCATGTCACAAACATGACTTTTTTAGAGAGCAAGTAGTTACAGCACTTAGAAATGCAGGGGCTCCCATCTGAAAATAACACTTGCTGAATTTTCAATATTGCTTTCGTTTGTGGAAAGTCAAACCAGGTTAATTTGAATTAAAACTGTTGACCTTTGTCGCATCTAACAGATGTCCCATCGCGTAGTAATTACACCGACTAGCCTAATTGTTTTGGATTTTTATAATGTGAATGCCTTTCCCGTGCTGGCTCTTGATACCGGGTTTGTAATCAATGCTTCGGAATGTCTCCATGGATGTTTCAACCCAAAGATGCTGCTAATAGATGTTTTGTATAACGGACCTTGTGCTGCACAGGCGAGCCGTAACGCCACGGCTGGAAGTCTGTAAGCTCCTCTGGCCTGTTTCAGTCCCTGTACGTGAGAAAGCAGAATCGGGAAGACAGTCTGCAAGGCTGTGGCCTGAAGCACTGAACGGTAGTTACGAGCTGTATCTGCAATGAAGTCGTTCTAGGGAAAAAAAAAAACCCTCTCTTCTGTAGCTGCACCACTGAATTTTCATCGTGTTGACATGATTCGTATTTCCAAATGTGTATTTCTAAGTGATTAATATTCTTCCCTCAAACCCTTTTTTCTTCTACCCTCTCTCTTTGTAGACGGCAGTTGTTCCCTTTTTTACTAAAACTTCCTGAGCAGAATTTGAATTGCAGGTAGAACCACTGAAGTGTCACGTAGACTTCACATTATACCATTTAAAATTTAAGAAAATAGATACTGATGATGACAAACTTCTCTACAAAGGGCATTATTTGACTTCAGGATGCTATGGAGATACAACCTGGTGGGAAAGACGTACTTTCTCAAGTTTCTCTGCTCTTTGTACATAGGCTTCTGTTGCATTTTTGTTCTCAGTTCACCTTTGTCAAACTCCATATTGTATTAGTTGAGCTAAATTAAGTGCCAGCCGAATCATATGATCTTTCAGTGTGTCTTATGCTTGCACTGAGCAGAAGCCAAGCTGCCTCTGGAATATAAATACTCTCCAACATATCATTCTGTGCTTATTTAAAAACCCGCAGTGCTAGAATTCAGAGAAAAAGAGAAAGCAAATTTTAATATACAAACTATTTGGACTGGTTTATTCTTGTATGAATCAAGTGTTTAAGTCCTGCTCTTAAGAAGAGGCGTGAGGCCTCTCCGTACCATGAACGTTACAGTGTACAATAAAAGCAGCTTATTTAGTATCAAGTACAGAGGGTAACGGTGTCGTTATTTCATGATGAAGAATCGAGACGCTTCAACAGAACTTCCTCGTACTCCTTCTGCGTCAGAAGGCCTTGAGTTACACTCTTGCTTTCCTCAAATTTGGGTAGAACCACGGCGATGTATCCCTCGGTTGACGGCTAAAAAGCGAGACTGCAGTGAGCAGTGAAATAAAAGTGAAGACAATAAAACACAAGAAAGCGTCTTACCTTTTCTTGCAGAATACTGGGATCGCTGAGGATGTTTTCGTTCACTTCGATCAGCCGCCCTCGTATGCAGCTGCAAAGGTGTTGGGAGTCAGGAGAGGTGCGGGGTAGGGCGGGGTGGGAAGAAAAAAGGACAACCCACCTGTAAATGGTGTATTCCTCCCCATCGGCCGAAGCTATCCTGCACAGGGGGGCGAGTTCTGTTAGAAACTGGGCTCCCTGCATTTGGAAAACACACACACGCACACACACACACGTGTAATTAGACGGGGCTGTTGAAAGAATTACAAAGCAAGGAGGGGGGGGTAGCTACAGGTCCGTGTGAGGTACGCTGGGCTCCCTGCATTTGGAAAACACACACAGACACACACACACGTGTAATTAGATGGGGCTGTTGAAAGAATTACAAAGCGAGGAGGGGGGGGTAGCTACAGGTCCGTGCGAGGTACGGGGCTGCGCTTCCCTGCAGCGGGGAAGATGCCACGGTGCGTGCCCGCCTCGAACAGGAGCTGGTTTGGAGCTTACGTGTTTAGGCATAATTAAGTGTCTTGGGGAATAACAGGCTGGGAGTTTGATCAGATTAAAAGCAGGGGTGAGAGGAGCCAAGCAGCACTGTTGATTTCAGTATAACCAGGTGAAACTACTCCTATTTGAAAACCCACCCGGAAACACTCTGAGCTCTCACCCTGTTTGAGAAAAAGGGTGGTCTCCCACTCCTCGGCATTTTGGTGGAAACACATTTTTATCTTTTTCAGGGATGTTTAAGTCCCAAATATGCGATGAAAAAAAATGACTGAAAGCAGCTGTTAGCCTGGGTTTGAGCAACGCTGGGACCACGGGTGCTGTGGGAGCACTGGCTGGGCCAGTCAAAACAGGCACCTCTTGAGAAACCCTCGCTGCTTCAGCTGCGCGGGGGCTGTTTTAAAACAAAAAGCAAAGGGAAGGTGGTACATTTCTATCCTCGAAAGGCTCCGGCAGTGCGAGAGATTAAAATGACAACTAAGCAAATCAAAAAGCCCGTACCCTTTTGGACTTCCCAGACACCTTGTTCTGGAGCCTGCTACAGTTGGCACTGATTTGGTAATTGATGCTTTTAATTGTTTTTCCGCTTTGGAGAAGAGGATGGGCTTCTGCCAAGGTGATGACGCAGATTCTGCAAAAAAGAAACGCAATTATGACGCTGTAGTTGTGGGAAGCCACGCTCTCAGGTGCTCTAAGCAAGGTCCACACCCTTCCCTGCCCCTGCTGGTAGGATTTAAAACTGGTGCCGGCTGCTTCCCTTGGGCTCCTAGCCGAAAGTCCTAGCAGGGCTTTCGGTGTTGTGAGCGCCGTTGTGTCCTTTCACTCTTTAAAGCACAACGT